CCCTTTAGGGGTAGTAGCACCTTTGAAGTTGCGAAGAATGTCTGCTTCGATTTGGATGTTGGTGGGTTGCTGCTATTCGCAGCTGCCATCTCACTTATCCTGCTGCCGCTCACCCTGGCTCCCAGCGCGGCCGGCCAATGGACTAACGCCAGCATGATTGCCATGCTCGTCATTGGAGGTGTACTGCTACTTCTCTTTCCCTTGTGGGAGACTAGTAGGAAACTAGCCCCGATGGCTTTCTTCCCGCCTGGACTGTTCAAAGAGCGCACAATCATTGCGGGTGTGCTGATCGCCTTTTTCTACTTCAGTAAGTTCCATCGATCTGCGGCATTCTTCATTTACTAACATTTTGGCAGTGGCATTCTACATGTCGGTCTTTCCGTACTTCAACTCTTACCTGCAAATCGTCCAAGGCCAGTCAATCACCACCGCCGGTTATATTACACGAGTTTTCACCTTCAGTTCGACCATCGCATCTGTCGCGGTTTCGCTCATCATCAAATATACCGCGCACTACAAGTATTACGTTACCTGCGGATCAGCCATCTACCTCTTAGGCATGGGTCTCATGCTAGCCTACCGCACGCAAGACGCTTCTGTCGGCTCGCTCGTTGGAACCCAGATCGTCATCGGTATCGGTGGTGGTCTCCTCAACGTGCCAGTACAACTCGGTGTCCAAGCATCGGCTTCGCATCAACAGGTGGCAGCAGCTACGACTGTTTGGCTCACACTTCTAGAAGTCGGTGGGGCAGTTGGATCGGCAATCTCCGGTGCTATATGGTCGACCTACATACCATCGAAGCTTCAACAGTATCTCCCGGAAGCCAATGCTGCAGACTGGTCACTTATCTATGGCGATCTCACTATATCGTCCAACTATACCACGTACCCAATCGGCTCGCCCGCACGTATTGCCATCAATCAAGCGTACCAGGAAACGATGCGCTATCTTCTCATCGGCGCTCTCTGCTGCGCCGCGCCTATCCTACCACTGACTTTTTTCCTCAAGAACTACAAGCTGGATGAGATGGACCAAAAAGTCGTTGGCAATGTCATTGGAAGCGCGGAAAAGCGGGAGAAGGTGAAGAGTTGGAAGTTCTGGCAGCGTCGGTCGTGAGGAAGATGCCATAGTTGTAATTCCTCGCAGGAACATGCAACTTTGTATGTTATAAGCTGGAAAGAAAGGGGTTATAACGGATAATGAATTAAACGGGAGTTTCTATTGCCTTTTAACATTTTTGTGATTCTTGCGCTTCAGCAAAGGACGAGACTCTCTTCTATCACATGATTCGGTGTGGTCGCGGTGCTAAAGTCCCGTCCCGCCTATACATCCAAGCCGACTATTTCGCATGCACACGCTCTATCTCCTCATCCAGTTTTCCGGTCTGGCATAAAATGGCGCATTGCCCCATGCGTAAGGTAGGGCACAGACCCTCGGCAGCACATCCCCCAGTGTTTCACCCTCCGCGCTGGACCCTGGATGTGCTTCCTCCGCCAAGCCATGGGTAAGACGATGCTGAGACTTTGCTGCGACCTGGCCACCTAGCGGGAACTGGGAAGGCGGAAGGCGGAACTGTCACTTTTCGAACCAAACAGCTTTGTGGTTTGAGTGCGGCGGCTGTTGTCTCAGACAAGCGCGATGGCGCTTGTCAATTCCAAGTAGTGGTCGAAAGTTAGTCTGAACGAGAACGAAGACGTAAATCTGATCAAACACTCATTCGATTGGAATCTAAAGGGTTTTATCGTCGTTACACACAAAATCGGCGTAAAGGCGTTCGTTCGCTAAACCATCCAATACCCAGAACCTATAAAAAAGAACTCCTCATCTTCCGGCCCGCAAGTTATGCAGGCTCCTACTGATGTTTGCTGAAAAAAAAGGAAAAAGTGTGCTTTCGTCTCCGAATCGTTCACCCCCATGCGCGTGATGTTTCAGTTTCGATTTTCGTGAAGCAGGGTATATATCGCTTAGACTTCGGTGATGGCGACAAGGGTCATCTTAGGCGCGTCCTCCTCTTCGACGACCTCATCACGCTTGCGCTTTTCCGCTGGTGGGCTGCCGGCGGCGGCGGAGTCGGCAGGGACATTGACACCGGGGTTGATAATCATTCCGATACCAGCGTTCTCAGTGCCCATCTCGACCTTGGGTTGGTCCTTCTGAGCGTCCTTGGCGTAGCCGAGAGCAGCGTTGAAGCCGGCGAGATCGCGCTTGATCCACTCCATGGCGGCCTCTACGGCCTCCATCTTGGGCTCGACGGGAGCACGCTTTCCGATGATGTCGTCGATGGCGCGGCGGAGGATGGAGCGCTTGGCTGCTTCACCTTCAGCGGGTTGTTCTTCTTGAGCTTGCTCGCCCTCGGCTGCGGGCTGTTCGGCGGCTGGTTGTTCTTGCTGACCTTGTGCGCCCTCCCCTCCGGCGTTTGCTGCGGCTCCCGAGGCCAATGTAGACATCAACTCCGAGGCTGATTCTGTAGATCCGAGCGAGATTTCACCATCACCGACTACCAGGGCAGGCGAGTAGGCACCCAAGTTGATGTTAAGCGGGACAGCAGCGACAGTGGCGACGAGCGCAACGAGGATGTGTTGAGGAAGCATCTTGTTGGTTTTGGGGGTTGTGTTTGGGTCTTTCGATTAGATGATGGTAATGGGTATTGGTGGATGGTAAATTCCAAAGAGCGAATAGATGATCAAGTGTGTATTAAGTCGCCCGGCGACGGTAGTGAATGGTAATTTGGTGAAGAACTGAAGTGAGTGACCGGACTGCAGAACTAAAGAAGTGGGCTCTACATCTTCTTATAGTCTATACACCATGCGTTGCTAGCCGTGGTATTGGAGTTCCACTGTTGTCGCCATCGCCAAGGTGAATTAACCGATTTCGAAGTGTGAAACTTTCATGAAGCTGTGCCAAGTTACCGCAAGCACAGCATGGCAGAGCTTTGCACTTCGACCAGCGCTGCCAAGCTTCTCCCGCTGTTTGATGTTGGGTCGAAACTTTTGTGATGCGGAGCCAAGGCAAGATAAGCGTGAAATCGATGTTAGCTGCCGGGACTAATGCATGGAGACGCTGTAACAAGTGGGTCGACGGCCGCGGCCTTGAGCCTCATTGAGAGTCGAGGCCTCAGCGACAGCTATGGGACTAATTTTGCGTTGCTTCTAAACCTCCCTGTAAATATTGAAACAGGTGCTTTTGAAGCCTTTGATCGCCTGAGGCGTGTGAAAGACTGAATACTTCACGAAATCGGGATAGGCACCACTGAGCGCCGGCCCGTGGTAATCGCCTGATAAAAACCGTTGAAGGTGTACGTGTAGTTTGCTGATCACTTCCGTTGCGAGGCCCTAAAGAACTGCCAAGCTCAAATCTAAAGCGCTGACAGCTGTAGAGGGCGACTGGGTAATGCTTGAGGTCACAAGCCCGCGGCTTCTCTGCGACGCTGATTTGCCAAGTAACTGCGCTGCAAGAAGTCAGGCAGGAGGTCGGTTTGAAAGATCGTCTACCCAGATGAGCATCGATCACCGGTGCCTGAGGCACGGATATGGGATATGCAGCCCCTGGACGGTGTTACTCCACAGCGTTCGTCTGTGGGTCAAAGGATCTAGACTGACAGCGCTCGGCGCAGAGCTTCGAAAGGGTAAGCCTCCAGCGTAACACTTGGTGTCTTAACTGCGTGGAGTAGGAGTGCCTCAACGGAGCGTTCTGCCAGGGTCGCGACCGGAAAAATGCAGTGCGACGTTTGGGTTGCGGCCTTTTCTTAGGCTGTTAGCGACGCAACGGGGTTAGCGCATCTTTTTGAGGCTGGAGCTCCAACGGAGGTGCGACACTCCAGGTGCTTGGCGCATGTGGAGGTCACTGGATTCGCGACTACTCCAGATATACGGCGGAGTTGAAGCTTGAGCATTGATGTGGTGCTTGTTATGAGTGTATGGTTTGCTTGCGGAGGCTGACGCGTGCCCTTTAGGGCGTGAATCGTGCTAACGACCCCATCGTCACTCGGGGCTACAGCCGGTGCATTAAGGGGGCGAGTTCATGAATTGAGGAGAAGCCGTAATTTCCGCGATGTGCACATCGCAAAACAGATAGAGAGGGGACGTGGAGTTGAGCGGAGGCGGAGTGAATAGATAGCGAAGAATGGGAAGGCCAAGGTCGGTGCCAGGGTCTCCGATCATGCCCATGCAACTTCGACTCCGCTTCCACCAGACACCCGCTTCAACATCATCAAAACATGTCAATCCCGTTTGCCATACTTATTATTTTGGGAGTACCTCAAGCAATAATCTATTGCATGTTTAAGATGCCACTGGCATGCCTGCTCATCTGGGTCATGATCCTTTCATCGCCCAGCCGTACCAAGACCGCTACCAATACCAGCAGACTGGTAGCTTTCCACGTGTGTTGAAGTCACACTAACCGGCCGCCAAATGGTCGAGGAGAATCACGTTGCATCGTTTTTAGGAGGCCAGCCGCCTTGGTAACGATCGATACCCTTTGATTTGTCTTCGGGGATGAGCGCGACCAACCTGGGAAACCCTCCTCGAGTTCACACCAACTACTCCAGACAGGCAACAGAGGTGCAACAAACCCTAAACATGGTCGTCTTCGATTGCATAGATGCTTCGAATTCTTACAGCTCACATCGTCGGCGCGTCTCCAAAGCAATCGTGGAACAGAGGTTCAGTCCCGGGCCGAACTAGCCCAAAGCGCTTGTTTCGAATCGTTGTAACCTTTGGCTACAAACCATTGATACCTGTCCAGCTATAGTATCAGGCTGCGACCTTCCGGTATTGCCGCCATCGATAGACACCGAGAAGTGCACGATTTTGGCAGTGGGGCAAATTCGGTGCATCCGAGCCACTATTTCGACCCCGCATTATGCAGGAATTTCACCACAACTTTTGCTTACCCAGAGACAAGTAAGACAACCTTGCTAGGCCACCCGCTGGCTGTGTCTGTTCAAACACGGCCGTAATTATAGACGATCAATTTTAAATTTCCTCCATCAAAGCAAGGCTCGGTGGTGTAGTTGGTTATCACGTCAGTCTAACAACCTGTTAGGCCCACTGAAGGTCCCGAGTTCAAACCTCGGCTGAGTCACAACAAGCTCGTGAAAGGGCTTTTTTTTGCACATTTATGATCACCGCGATGATCATGAAGAGGATGCATGTAAGACCTTGGCTATATTTTCTTTTTGTATTACATTAGTCAGACTACACAGACTACGCTGTGAGGCTAGTGGTTCCGCGGAAATCCGCTTACGGACCGATAGTATAGATTGGCATACATCTGGGCATTGTGTACGCGTGTACTCTACTAGCATCTTGTTCGCAATGTATGCTCATATAATTTTCTCCTCCCCTTGGCCCACTGTTCGAAGAGTTACGCCTGTATCCTTCTAAATTGCTAATGCTCCATTTCTGCACATACAGCGTAAGCAAATAATTAAGGGACAGTAGGGCAGAGGCCTACCCTGAGTATCCCTAGGTGACTGAACAACGTCCTTGTGCTCAGGCTCGACAGTGTACAAAGCGGGGACGTCTGTAGAAGGCGTTAATCAAGGAAGCCTATTCGGCGGATCATCTAGGTGGGACACCTTACACCACTGGAACGATAAGGGGACGACTAGCGTAGGCCGTAAAAAAGCCTCAGCGTATGTATATGTGCCGTGGACCGTAAAACTACTCGAGTAACGGTATACCGCAGGGCAAAAACGTCACTCAAAATGACCGCATTTGGGAGCCTGGTTCACTGGAAGTTGATACCGCTATATCTAGCGTTGCCATTCATCATAGTAAGTCAAGGCAAGGTGGTATTGGCGTGACAAAGGTTCGTAACCTATTACCACAGCTCCTCGTCAAACATGCCGTCGAAGCCATCTATAACCTCTTTTTTCACCCACTGCGCAAATACCCCGGACCACGCATGTGGGCTGCTTCAGGCCTCCCCCGCACTATTCAACGTACCCGCGGCGTGGAAATGTGGGTGCGTCTCGAGGCGCACAAGAAGTACGGTCCCGTGATCCGGATGGCGCCCAACGAGCTCTCGTGGATCGAGCCAGGAGTCTGGAAAGACGTGTGGGCGCACCGCCAGGGCCAAGAAGAATTCCCGAAACATGAAATGGATCGTATCCGGCACCCAAATGGACGTTATGGCATCTTTAGCGCAGAACGAGCCGATCATTCACGATATCGACGGCTGCTTAGCTATGCATTTTCTGAGAAGGGGATGCGAGAGCAGCAACCGCATATTTTAGGATATGTGGATCTGTTGATCAAAGACCTGAAAGAGGTTGCAGGAGAAGGGCCGCAGGATATGGTCAAGTGGTTTAACGTGCGTATCCCCCCTTCCCCACATCACCATATGGCAAAGCGTCGACATCTAAGTAACAATACCTGACAAAAAACAACAGTTCACAACCTTCGACATAATCGGCAAACTAGCTTTCGGGCAAGACTTCTCCTGCCTAACCGAAAAGAAAATGCATCCCTGGATCGCCATGATCTTCGGTAACGTGAAGTCCATCGTGCTCCTCGGTACCATCAAGCGGCTGGGTCTAGAATGGGTGTTACCCTACATTGCCTCCAGCGACCAGCTCGCCGCCCGCATCTACAACCACAACTTCACCTCCGACATGATGACCAACCGCGTGGCGCGGGGCACAAACCAGCATGACTTCTGGGACAACGTGATTGCGCACATCGACAAGAAAACCGGTATGTCCTTTGATGAGATGGTGTCCAACGCCGCGAACCTGGTCTTGGCCGGGAGTGAGACGACGGCTACGCTGTTGAGCGGCTGCTTGCACCTGCTCATGACGAACCCGGCTGCGCTAGCGAAGGTCACAGAGGAGATACGCAGTGCGTTTACGTCAGACGACCAAATCGATCTGTTTTCTACATCGCAGCTACCGTATACGCTTGCGGTGCTCGAGGAAACTATGCGCATCTACCCGCCGGCTCCTACACAGACAAATCGCAGTGTGCCCGCTGGTGGCGCACTGGTCCAGGGCCAGCATCTTCCGGCGGGTACGACTATCGCGCTGAGCCAGTACATTGCGAATCACTACCCGAAGTACTGGACGAAGCCCGAATCTTTCATCCCTGAACGCTTCCTCGGTGCTGAGGAGTTTAAGAATGATTGCTTTGATGTTATGCAGCCGTTTAGTGTGGGGCCCAGGAACTGTATCGGGCGCAACCTGGCGTATGCGGAGATGAGGTTGATTCTCTGTCGGGTTTTGTGGAATTTTGATGTGGATAGGGTCATCAGGGAGGGTGAGAAGGAGTGGTTTGATCAGAAGACGTATATTCTGTGAGTATCTTATTTTTTTTTCTTTCGTTTCTTTCAATCAGGGGTTTCTTTTGGATAGACGGGCTAATGCGGTGTTCGCAGATGGGAGAAAAAGCCGTTATGGGTTAAGTTGAAGCCAGTGGTCCGTTAGGGCAGGGAAGATGTCATGGTTTGGTGAGCGAGGTACAGTAGAGCGAGGGGCTTTACAGTCAGTGGTTTAGGAATCGAGACGACAAAGAATGCGCGAATTGTACAGAATTGAGAATCAAATGGTCAATACGCACTGACAAACTCGATCTTCGCTTCAACTTCTGGTTATGACGGCCTCCACGACAGAGCTACGGTAGCGTATACCCCCCATCGATTACCAAATTTGCCCCGGCTATTCGAACATGTCAGCACAAGCACCTTGACAACTACGTGTCTGGTAAGCTCAGGTAGCAGAGGGAAAAGACTTACTCATATAACTACTGGCCCCACTTGCCAAAAACACATACGCCCCCTTCAACTCCCCCGTCTCACACAATCTCCCCGCAGGAACCATACCCATCCACTTCTCCCTCCACTCCTTTGGATGCACATCCAACATATCCGTCGCAATAAAGCCCGGGGAAATACAATTGACCCTCGCAAAATCTACCCATTCGACACTCAAGCAGCGCGCAAGTTGCACAACACCCGCTTTGGACGCGTTGTATGCTGCTTGCTTCTGCGGAACGTTGACGAGGATGGCAGAGACGCTAGCTGTGAAGATGAGGTTGCCGTGACCTTGCTGCTTGAAGATTACTCCCGCGGCTTGGGCGGTGTAGAATGCGCCGTCGAGGTTTACGGCCATGATTTGGCGCCATTGGTCTTCGGTGTAGTCTTCGGCTGGGTGGTGTGTTGCGATTCCGGCGTTTGCGACGACGATGTCTAGACCGCCAAAGTCTTTTGCAATGGCGTTAATGACGCGGGTTATCTCTTCTTTGTCCTCAACTGATGCTTTGTAGGCTTTTACTATTACACCTGTTGCGGAAGCTATGGAGGAGGCGATGGCGTCCGCGCCTTTGGTGCTGGAGTACAATACTGCGACGTTTGCGCCGGCTTCTGCGAGTGCTTTGGAGGCTGCGAGACCGATTCCACGGACGCCGCCTGTTACGGCAGCGGTTTTACCTTTGAGGGAGAATTGAGATGTGACATGTTCGTCGGGGTTAGAGGGTTGTGCGAGAGGCATTGTGGGCGATGGGAATCAAGGTGGAAAGTAAGAAAGAGGCGATGAGAGAAAGGACTTGCAGCGGAACTGGCGCGTCATGGCGATTTCGATCTTATCGGATGATGGGTATCGGAGTGGGTGTACCTGCTCTGAAGGCATAGCTACATCATGTGGGTAGGGGTGGTGTCATTTAGTGCATTGGGGATCCACCCCGCGCAGGTTGACGGCTGCCCTTGACCCCACGATCCCCGCATTTGCGCTTCGTAACATCCGAATTGTATCTTAGTATGCTGGCCATGGGCATACAAGATGGAGCTCTCCAACTCCAAGAGGCGCTGCAGTCAATTTGGAAAACAACATGTCTTCCGCAACCATCACCGAGAAGGTGAGATCGCTGCAACGTGCCTTCCTGATCTGAAACTGACTTGTTCGTTAGAATCCGGCCTTCGTCCTCCGCGCGATCAAGGACGTCGCATTTGAGAACCGGGAAGTGCCTCAGTTACGCGACCAGCATGAAGTCCGTGTACATGTTGCGCAAACAGGAATTTGCGGCAGCGATGTACACTACTGGCAGCGCGGCCGCATCGGCGACTTTGTCCTGAATAGTCCCATCATCCTTGGTCACGAGAGTTCCGGAACAGTCGTAGAGGTTGGATCAGCCGTCAAGAATCTCCAAGTGGGAGACCGTGTTGCCATTGAACCTGGTGTGCCATGCAGACGATGCGATTACTGCCGGTCTGGCGCATACAACCTTTGCAACGACACCATCTTTGCAGCCACACCACCTTGGGATGGAACACTTGCAAAGTACTACACTGTTGCTAGTGACTACTGTTACAAGATCCCGGACCATATGAATATGGAAGAAGCAGCAATGGTCGAACCAGTCTCAGTCGCAGTCCAGATCTGCAAGGTTGCGGATTTGCGCGCGAACCAGACTGTGGTCGTCTTCGGCGCGGGGCCTATTGGAGTGCTGTCGCAAGCAGTTGCAAAAGCCTCTGGCGCGAAGAAAGTCATTGCTGTCGATATATCTCAGGCAAGATTGGATTTTGCCAAAGCATATGCGGCAGATGGCGTGTTCTTACCTCCAAGAGCAAAGGAAGAGGCCGACACCGTCGCCCATTCGGAGAGTATTGCTGCAGCCATCAAAGAGCAATTCAGTTTGGGCGAGGGTGCAGATATTGTTTTGGAATGCACAGGTGCTGAACCGTGTATACAGGCCGGCATCAACGTGGCAAAGAAGGGCGGCACCTATGTCCAGGCGGGCATGGGCAAGGAAGTAAGTCTCCATGTCAACCGTGTCTCGATGTTCAACTGCTGATCGAAAACGCTAGAATGTCGTTTTCCCCATCACGACGGCTTGTATCCGTGCATTGACCATCAAGGGCTCTATCCGCTACTCAGTTGGCTGCTATCCCAATGCGATAGACCTGGTGGCCTCAGGCAAGGTGGATGTGAGAAAACTCATCACGAACAGATTCAAGTTCGAGGATGCCGAGAAAGCTTTCGAGCTAGTGAAGGCTGCGCAGGAGGGCATTTTTAAGGTCATTATAGAGGGTGTACAGTAGAGTCGAATCTGGATGGAAACAGAACATCACGTGCCATGTCCCGACGTTGCG